TCAGGCTTAAATTCCAGCACCACATAGAGTTCCCAGTGATTCCTGAGCACTGAGCCAGGAGTATGCCCTGAACACTGGTGGATATAATCCCTCAAACAAAAATGCTTTTAAACAACTTTGGGGTCCAGAATACACTGGGTCGGATGCTTGCCCTGCACATGGCCAAACTGGGTTCAATCCCTGTTACCCCCTATATTTTTCCAAGCCATGCCAGGAATATTCCCTGATCCCAGAGCCAGGAGTAGACCCTGAGCACTACCAGGTGTGGTGAAAAAAAAAGCAAAAAGAGAAAAGAAGGAAATCCTACACTTAAAAAAAAAAGTCACTCACGCTATGTATTTGTAGTTGGTGTTTTAGGAATGACATCTTAAAAAGTGATTTTTCTAAACTTTAAACCCCAGGCAGGTAATAAATAGACCTAACTCCTGGCCTACAGTTCAACAGCCTTCTAGAAAAGGTGTTTTTCAGGAAAGACAACTAGAGTTGGCTGGTGAAGTTAGTGTTTTGACTATTTAAGTAAATAATTGGTATTCTTTGTGGAGTAATTAATTCTCTAAAATTACATAATTACAATCATTGAAAGATACATACTATTAGTCTATCAAAGTTACATAATTATAATCAAAAGCAATTGTGTGTATCTTAATATCGGCGAAGTCTGTCCCTTAATTGATGCTGCTTTATTATGAATGGTGCATGAGTTAATAAAAATAACATGTTGAAAAGGTTTGTAGCAATTGACTCTAATATTGGAATATGTATTTTTGTAAATCCCCAAAATTATAGCCACTACACACCATAGAAATTCCTTCACATAGCTCTGACTATACCAATGACTACTTTTAAAGAGCTTTAGGCATAATAAATGAACATCTGTGAAAATGGGTATGACTGAGATAGCACAATGCCACAGGAAGTGCAGAGCTATAGATTCTTGTTCCATATGGCCTAGTAAAGTATGTTTATTTCTCAGAGTGAAGCCAGTTGGACTTCAAATCAGAAAAGGTATCACCTACTTTACACTCACAATCCACCCAACAGTGCTTAACCCAAAACATACACCCTGTCCCTTTAAGTTCATTTCCTTCTTTGCTTCTCTCTGCTCTTTATGGATTTCTTATGTACCAGGTTAACTCTAGGGAAATACTGGCAATCTTCAACTTGATTATATTTTAAGGTGTCTTTCCAAGTTGGTCATTTGGATGTATATTTAGGATCATCACCATATTTGTTTTTACTGACTATTGCTTAAGTAATATCTAACACAAGAATCAGAATATGGCTGACATTGAGAAAATATTTCCAGAATGAATAAATAAATGGGGAAACATGGGTTGTATTCTCACAGTGACACAATGTTGGATGATGTGACTAAATTCCTGGACCAGATGATCAAAGTCTTGACAACAAACAGTACTAGAAAAGAGTATTTCATTAGGACTGTTATAACACTGAACCCATGCAGCTCCATGCAGAAACACATTTCACTTGCTTCCGACTGGAATTGCAAATGGAATTCCACAGTGCCTCCAATTGCATTCAAACCAACAGTTCCCTCCCCCAACAATTTCCGGTCATTGAGTGAGAAGGAGAGAGAAATCTTGTTGCTCCAAGTTACTTGTGTGCTGATTTGTAAAATCCAAGGGATTAACTCTAAATCCCTTGGGTAATCACCATTCCCTTGCAATTCAGTAAGGTCATCTCCATTCCCCTATAATTGCAGTTTCTAGAATCACAATGACCATTCATCCCTAAATGTAACTTTGGGAACTGATTAGCCTGACCAGTGCTTCTGCCCTATGGCATTGTGCAACTTCCCTCCTAGACACCACCCAGAAATCCCAGTCGGACCATGGCATAACTGAGAATTGAAGAAACAAGGTGGCAGGTACTTAAATTCTAAAATGTAAGTGTCATGGAGTTGTAGGGTTCACAACATAATTTTTTTTTTAATTTAGGAGTAACTCCTGTGCATCGCTGGGTGTGACCCGAAAAGTAAAAAAAAAAAAAAATTAATTCAAAGCCAAGTTAGAAACTACAAATAAATATTACAGGAGTCCACGTTCCCCTCTCTTCAGTCACCCTGCAGCCCACCATAATATGACATTTGAATCTCCATTTGGCACTTACATGCCATGGACCCAGGGCACCCAGGAGGCAAAGCCCTGATAAGAGCTAGCTATGCAAAGGTTGACCTGTGGCAGATTTCTTCAATTTCCCCATCTTCAGCTATCTGCAATGTAACATTTAGATAAAAATAGTTGCTGTCTTGTCAGGTTATTGTAGAGAATAAGTGAGTTAGTGCTCCTGAAGCACTTTTAACGGGCTCTCAATAAACATTGATCTTGATGCCTACATGACTGTCTCCAGAAGATTCCATGTCCTGACATCTCCAAGTTGGGAGGGAGGAGGTGGGAACCTCCACTGTAAATCGTGCTCTTTCACTGCATTGAATTACCCACCATGCCTGGATGTGCTAAGAAATCAAGGCAAGTGTTTCACGCAAATCCCTTTCTCCCAGAGAGGGACAGGCATGCTCTGTTAGAACATGCTGCTTCTCCAAAGACAAGAATTCTTGTCTTTTAATGAGCACCTAACTCGTGTGTCCGAAATAGCTCTTTTATCACTTCTGTCTCTTCTCCTCCTAGTAAAGCAGATTATGTCCTCCATAGTTATTTGTGAAATTTTTTAACAACTTTCTCAAAAGCACCAACACAGATAACAACTATCAAAGCTGGAACCCACGGTCAGAGAGAATTCAACAGGCTAGAGCAAATGCATCTGCATGCTAGTAGTAGAGGCCCAACCCCAGCACTGCATGGTTCTCTGATGGCCACTGGGATGCTGGGAGCAACCCTAAGCACAGAGCTAGGAGTAGCCCTTGAGCTTTGGTGACTGAGACCACCCCAAAACAAAACACATACAAAAATCTGGTACTGAGGTTTATGTATGAAGGGAAAATATCAGATCATCTCCCACCACCATACCATCTCCTTAGACCTGACCAAGCCAGTCCAGAAAAGAAATAACTACATTGTAGTGTACATTATAGTGTTCATCGAGCTTAGGTTCCCAAGCATTGAACTCAGGAACTCAACCTCTCCCGAAGCCTTTTCTTGCTAATCTTCCATTATGATGGATAGTTGTGAACCTCCCCACTTTCTTTCTTTTAAATTTGTACCTAGTGTTGCCCTTTATGTCTGCACACTACATTTCTCTCTTCACCTCATGTCTAACCTTGTGGCTATAATCATCTCTTTCCCAAGAGTCTATTTTTTTTTACCTTGGATCAAACATGGCAGAGCCTGACAAACTACCCGTGGCATATTCAATATACCAAAAACAGTAACAATAACAGGTCTCATTCCCCTGGCCCTGAAAGAACCTCCAATATAGCAGTATTGGGAAAAACGAGTAAGGAAAGCTGCTAAAATCTCAGGTCTGGGACTAATGGAGACATTACTGGTGCCCACTCGAGTAACTTGATGAACAGTGGGATGACAGTGATACAGTGATACCTTGGATCAAATTATTTCCTTTACTACAGACTGGAGCACTGGAGCACTGTCCTCCTGTTGTTCATCGATTTGCTTGAGCGGGCCAAGTAACATCTCCATCATGAGACTTGGTATTTTATTTTGGCTTTTTGGGTCATACCGGCGATGCACAGGGGTTACTCCTGGCTCATGCACTCAGGAATTACCACTGGCAGTGCTTGGGGGACCATATGGGATTCTGGGCATCGAACCCGGGTCGGCCACGTGCAAGGCAAACACCCTACCTGCTGTGCTATCGCTCCAGCCCCACCATCATGAGACTTGTTGTTACTGTGTTTGGCATATCGAATATATCACGAGTAGCTTGCCAGGCTCTGCTATGCGGGCGAGATACTCTGGGTAGCTTGCTGGGCTCTACAAGAGGGGCAGAGGAATCAAACTCAGGTAGGCCAGGTCTGCCGAGTGCAAAGCAAACGCCCTACCCGCTGTGCTATTGCTCAAGCCCTGGCATTCTCGCATGACCACCCACGTAGTTTTATCCAGTAAAGCGAATGATTAGAGGTCTTGGACCCAAAACGATCTCAACCTCTACTACAGACACTTAAAGAAATCTGTACTACCAATTATTATGATTATAATCCGTCCTACTGATGAACTAAGAAAGGAAAAGTTCCAAGAGGGCTGGAGCGATAGCACAGCGGGTAGGGCGTTTGCCTTGCATGCAGCCAACATGGCCGACCAGAGTTCGATTCCTCCGCCCCTCTCGGAGAGCCCGGCAAGCTACCGAGAGTATTCGATATGCCAGACACAGTAACAACAAAGTCTCCCATGGAGACGTTACTGGGCCCTCTCGAGCAAATCGATGATCAACGGGAGGGCCTTTACTTACTTTACTTTACCTCAAAAATTCATCTGCTTTACAAATCCTCTGAAAACCCTCTTCAACTCAACAAAATGAATTCAGCTCCTTCCTTATTTCCTGTATATTCAAACTCTGTCTCTCACCCACTGTATTATGTAACTGGACTGTTACATACTCGCTCTCCTTCTGTTTCAGTTCCTTTCCACCATCACAGAATGATGCTCTGCATCCTCACTTCCCACAACTTTCCAAACACTGCAGCTTCTGAAACTTCTTTGCATCCTAATTCCCATAATATATCATTGAAACTTCTTTTATGGCAGTTGCCAATTTGGAATATTTGTTTAATTAATATTTGTTTTAGTTTTATTTGTTTAATTATTTGCTTAATTTTCTCAAGAAAGATATTCTATTAATCAGCTACTAATTTCCCTTACCACTTTCTAAATATCTACCTCAAATACAAGCTCTTACCTAAGCTAAGGAACTTCACACTTGCTTGTTGTTACATGAGTGTTTGAGTGAATTATTGTTTTGTAATGATGTATTAAATGTTGGTTTATGTAGCTAATACATAATACATTTATAATAAAATAAGTACCTTAAAATGAGCAATTTTTCAATTTGTATTATTTCTCTAGGTTGTAGAACAATCTGTATCTGCTTGGCAACTCTAATTGAGTAGACTACTACAAAATTGAAGAAGAATATACCTTTTTGGTAAGTCCCAGAGACATTCAAGTTTTGATTATAATCAAAAAGCTAATGTGTTCAACTTCATTTTACTTACGGTCCTATTTTCTAAAATTTTTACACGTGTTGTTATGTCTTTTTGGAGATCAGAGGGAGTTTTTGAGAAAAGTTTGTGAGAAAACTCATTATTTTCTGTGGATATTAGTATAAAATCTCTGCATTTTGACACAATGCTGAGGTGATCCCAGAGATTTCTGGAAGGAATTTGATTTTTGTGTGTAACTTCTTATTGAATTCCTAACATAATGGAGTTCTGTTCAATGTTTTGATGAGAATAAGACAAAATCCTGTCTGGCATTGAATGAAGTCACATAATCTGAGGACTCATGTTCTTTGGTTGTTTGGCTGAAAGTCTTGGTGTCCGGAGATCTATCAAGATTGTGATTTGTTTGATACTAATTAGGGAAAAAAACTGCAAGTTCACAGATTGATACATTTTCTGGGTGAGCACATACTCATAACCTTGATGAGGTTAAGAAGAGGTTCTATAGCCCAGTATATGTCCCAAACCAAGACACCTGTCCCTGTCTACCACTCTCATTAATATCAACTATGAATTCTCTTGCTATTGCATCTGAATGTGACTTCTAACAATGCAAATTAATCTTACTTGTTTTTAAAAGCTACATAAATGGGGGGGGGAAACTACGTTCAAAAATGATATAAAAATTAAGATAAAATGGGGGGAGCAAACAGTAAGACCAAGTGATTTTTTTAATGCATGTAACACCTATTTTTCCAGAGAAGTTGACATATAACAAGAGTCATTTTGCTTTTATTCTTCACCCAGAAAATATTACCTGTTATTACCGAGGGTCACTGCTGATTAAGCACCCAACTTGCATTTCTACCACTCATATTTGTGCTTAATAAATTATAGTTTGCCCTAGATCAGGAGAGATATTCAAGCCATCAAACTGTCTTTTATAATTAAAGGTAAAGGTAAAGGCCCTCCCGTTGATCGTCGATTTGCTCGAGCGGGCCCAGTAACGTCTCCATTGGAGACTTCGTTGTTACTGTGTCTGGCATATCGAATACTCTCGGTAGCTTGCCGGGCTCTCCAAGAGGGGCGGAGGAATCGAACTTGGGTTGGCCATGTTGGCCGCTTGTAAGGCGAACGCCCTACCCACTGTGCTATCGCTCCAGCTCCAGTCTTTTATAATTAGAGCAAAGAATTTTCTTTTACCTTTTATTAAATTGGTAATTAACAGAGGGTGAAGATTTTACATGGTTTCTCAAAGGAAACAAGAAAGTAGATGGAGGTATGCTTTCATGAACAATTGGCTTACTACCCATTTGTTTAAGTTTTTATAGTATTTATCCTAATAAATGAGGAATGAGATCATGTTGATCTATTTCAAGAATGTTAACTACCTGTTCTAGAGAAGGCCTAACTGCAAGCTTCCTAATCGCTGTTAATATTTAGGCATCTTCCCAAGAAATGGCAATTAAACTGTCACTTCAAGTGACTCAGAAGATGTCCTCTTGTTTGAGGGCCTGCAAAAAAAGTGTCACCACTCAATTTCTTTTATAATTAGATGTTATGACTTCGCATCCTACATTATTAATTTTTCATATTAGTTTTATCTGGTGTCTTTCTTAATAATAGTGTCTGCCATCCAAACCATCTTTTTTATATTTAATGTCATTACACGTTGTGATATTTTACCTAGGTCATATTTATAGCATCCTCTGTTATATCTGGTGTTATGTCAACAGATTCTTAAATATATATATAATCTTTAACTCAGTTTATTTTGTATTCTATAGAAATGTTTAAAGGAAGAGTTTTCGAATTAAGTTTACCCGAACCTATTCAATACATTCTAGTTGCTATAAAGAGTAGGTGTGTTAAAAAGTGTGTGATGGGTTAGAAATTTAAATTTGGTATCAAAAGACACAGCTTGAAAATATTTACAAATTTCTAATACTGAATGATATTCAGTGATACTGGGAATACATATTTTTCAGTTATTAATACAAATCTGTTGGAAAAATAAGTTTTTCAATAAAGATTGGGTCATTTCCTAACTCTCTCCTCTCCCAACTTCTAGACACCAAATTTATGATTTCTAACAAGATTAGTTTTACCTGTTCTTGGATTTTACTGAAATGAAATCATAGAATGTAAGATATTTGGCATCTGGCTTCCTTTATTCAATATGTTTTTAAGTGTCATCTCTATGATTGAGTATAATAGCTCATACTTGGTGTTGTGGTACTTCATCAAACTTATGGGTCCATTTGGGGGGTCATTTTTTCATTTGATAATTGGGTTGCTTCCAAGTTTTAGATAGGATGACAAAGCTGTTAGAAACATTTGGTAAATATCTTTTGTGGCCATATGTATTCATTTCTCTTGGAATAATACCAGGGAGAAGAACTTCTGGGTCATGGAACAGTTTTATGGTCAATCATATAACCAACTGTCAGACACAGTTCCAGAGTCTTTGAACCTTTTTACGCTCACAGCAGAAAGTATAGAAGGTATTTTTGTCCCAAATCTCCTCCAATTTTATGTTGCTAGTCTTCTAGGTTTGAGTTTTTCTTAAGATTTCACTGTCAGTTTAATTTGAATTAGCTTATGATTAACGGTGCAGACCATATTTAATGGGCTTAATTCATGGAGCTTCTTTATATTTTACAAAATTTATATTTTAACAATTTTCTCATTATCTAGGTTTGCCTAATTTCTGAGATTCTTTTAAATACTTTTTGGAAACCAGCCACATTTCCAATTATATTTTTACCCAGTCTGAGGCTTGCTGTATTCATAACATTTCTTTGATGAATAAGTGTTTTGGGAAGGGAAGGGGTGAATGAGAAGGGACTGTGGATAGCGGTGGAAGTATATTGGGAATCTATTGGTGGGCATGGTGCAGTAATATCATATACCTAACATATAAATATTAACACTATGCAATTTGTGTAACTTAAATAGAAAAATGTTTTTATTTTTAATACTAATCTTATGGTTAATATTTTCCAGGTCCTCTCTCTTTTGGGAGGGAAAAGGGAGCTAAGGTGTTACTCCTGGCTCTGCGCTCAGGAATTATGCCTGGCCATACTCAGGAGATCCAAAGGGTACTGAGGATCAAACCCGGGTCGGCCACATGCAAGGCAAACACCCTACCTGCTGAACTATCATTCTGACCCCTTTTCCAGTCATCTCAAAGAAATATTTGCCTACAAAAAGTTAGAAAATCTGGACCGGATAGATAGTACGGTGGGTAAGGTACTTGTCTTGCACATGGACCTTAGTTCAATCCCTATTACCTCAAATGGTTCCCAGAGTACCACCTGGAGTTATTCCTGAACACAGAGTTATAAGTAAGCTCTGAGCACTTACTATGTGTGCTCACTGTTCAAAATAATTTTTGTAAAGATTTACAATTTAGATCCTTACATTTGGACTTATGACCATCTTGAATTAACTTGTGTGTGGCTTAAAATGTAGATAAAATGGTATTTTTTAAACAATTTTTGCAATTATATCCACATCGTTTTGAAAACATTCTTCAAATTGAATAGTTTTTTGCCTGTAGTGATTATATGAATAAATGCCTATTTCTGAAGTATCAATTCAGGTTCATCCATCCATATGATTATCCCCGTTCTAACACTTCGATATTTTGCCCAGTACCGTCTGTAAGGGCTGGAGCAATAGCACGGTGGATAGGGCATTTGCCTTGCAGGCGGCCGACCTGGATTCAATTCCTCCATTCCTCTCAGAAAGCCCGGCAAACTACCAAGAGCATCCCGCTCCCATGGCAGAGACTGGCAAGCTCTCCGTTGTGTATTTGATATGCCAAAAATGGCAACAACAAGTCTCACAATGGAGACGTTACTGGTGCCTGCTCGAGCATATCAATGAACAACAGCAGGACAGTGCTACAAACAGTGCTATGGTCTGTAAAAAGAAAATATTAAATCCTCCAACTCTTTTTCTTATATTTTTGTGGTTAGATTAGATGCTCTGGAAACTTTTGTTTCCATATATCTTTATTATATATTTATTTGGGGAGATTGAAGGGATCCCGAGGCAGTGCGGAGAATCACCTTAGTGATTCTAAGCCAAGTCAGGCTTGTGCCTCACTAAGACCCCAGAAGGCAGAACTTGTATGATAACATGGATGAATGTTGGCCTCCAGTCATATACCAATGATGCTTGGAGGACCATGTGGTACCAGGGATCAAACTGGGATCACTGACATCTGCAAGGTCCTTTCATCCCACCCATATATATTTTAGAATTTACTGGTAAATTCTAGAGGGATAAGAAATCAACTTGGTCTTTTTGTCTCAACAAAAAGTATTGTATTGAATAAGTATCATATTGAATAAGTAGGTCAATTCAAAGATAGATATCTTTTGGTCCTTGGGGGTCTTCCAATATATATGTGGGGTAATTCCTATTATTTAAGTTTTTTTCTTAGTTCTTTTTTAGTGAAGAGCTTTTAAGCATCTCTTAAGGTTATTCTAAAGTATTTTTATCTTTTAATCTTGTTATGAATTTAACATTTTTTTAAAAATCACCCATCTCATATACACTAATGTGCAAAAATGCTGTTGATACTTCACTTATTGTTCTTGTAATATTCACATTTACTTACTACTTCAAGTAGTTCTTTTCACCGATTACTTTGGATATTTATGTAAACCAGCATTGTCTAAAGAATACCTTTACTTCATCTTTTCCAATCTTGATGCATTCTCTGCTTTTCTCTTCTTGTTGTACTAACTTGTACCGTGTGTGTAATGTTTAATAGAAGCAAGGACAATAGACATCTTTATTTGTTACTAATAACAGAAGGACACATTCGGTGTTTTAGCATTAAATATGATGTTAATCTAAGCTTTCTGTCATGCTTTTTCAGACTAAAGAAGTTTCCTTCTATTTCACATGTATTACGTGTTTTGAATTAATGATTGAGGGTTGAATTTTGCCAACAGTTTTTTTCTTGAAC